TCGGACCACACTGAAGCCTTCCAGTGCACAGTCTTTGTCAGCAGCACATGCAAGCCATTTGCAGGCATTACCTAGGTGGCGAGACACGAGAAAGAGATGCAACGAACCGGCCTCAACAACTCTTCAAATCCAACATGGATGCAATTCTGTTGAGCAGTCCTGCTTTCTGCAATCCTACACAAATAAGCATCTTTGGGACCTCCTAGCACATTCTGCAAATTGCTCCACTTTGTCCTTTCTTTCTAGCCACGCCTCTGCACACCCCCGAACTGTCGAGTCAGAGAATCAACCCACATAGTCTGCCACAACGCCTCGAGCGAAAATAAGCAGAAGAGCCGACCGCGATGATGTGAGGCGACCTCTGTGTGCCACGCAGCGATCACCAGATGCGTTATCAATATCTGTTATATTCAATTCAGGTCTCCCCCCTCCTTTGTCAACACTCCTGTCTAGGCGCCTACCTCCAAGAATCTAGTGCTGGTGCTGCATGATTGCCTGTTCAGCCATGACTAGCATTAGGCAATTGAGCTGCGAGCGTAATACTGTCCACCTCAACTTCACTACCTAAACCGTCCCCAAGCTGGCTAATGACCAGCCTTGCAAATATCTGCCCGCACAGCCTGCTTACTAACTGGACACAATACAGCATAGTCAAGAAGAGGGTGCATATGTAATGGGCAGTCCCACCGGCACTGCTTCAGTTCTGCCTGATGAGTTTGCTCAGCTTCGCAGTTCTCCGCCAAAACTGCATCCGTACTGGCTGAGCGTATCCCCACGTAAATGTACCAGAAAGAGGACAATGGTTAACATCGTCTTGATGCAAAGTGCCACTGCCACAAAGAATGCCACTGAACCGATCATGCATTCGCGATGTGCGAAGGCGAGCTTAGTGAGTCATCCGCAATCGGCCAGCCCAGTTAAAAGCGCCGCCGTCAGCTTCCACGTCGTGGTATCCCGCCCACGATTTGCATATGCCGAGCTGTATGCAACGTGCGACTGGCAGGCTGGGCTACAAGGCGCCTAGGCACTTGCCCTGAAGCCTTGCGTAGGTGTACAGGCAGGAAGTACCCGGGTGGCCAAACTGTGATGCAGCGAATGACCTATAGCGTGGCTCTAAGCTTGGATCGAATGGTGAAACAATGAAAAAGCGCACAATAGTGTTTGAACTCAATAAATGCCGCGCACGGGTATGGCGTATGTTGACGTCTCTCGACGGCGTATAGACCGCCACTGCGATGCGATGCGAGCCCGGTAGTGAGGGTGCCCGTGTTCGTCCCTTGCGTTTTCCGTCGGCGTTAAACATATTCAGTGACACGTCCAAACAGTATCACTGCAAAGTGGTTATTCGGGCCCGAGTAAAGCAACGCGCAACCCAGCAGAATTAGAGAGTAACTGTCCCCACCTCAAGCGCACCTCACTGTGCATCTGCTCTACCGGTGCCAAATGCCTAGGGGGCAAATTCCATCCAGCATTCTCCGGAGGGAGCGATGCGGATCTTCAAATTATGCAGCTGGCCGTGCGCGGCTTTGCACTTCGTCATTATTGTTCTTGCTTGCATATCACTAGCCCACGCGCACAGTATTGGAGATACGAAGCCCACATAATCGTTGGGAAACGCTGTTCGACGCCCCGTTTTAACAGCTGAGAATCGGGCTTTCTCGTGAAAAAGGGCGACGCAGGCGTTGCTCATTGCAATCCGTTCCTTGGTCATGACATGCCTCCCACACTCTGCAGGACAAGCATTTTAATGCAAATGGCGCCCCATTTGTTGTCAACCTCAAGCCGCTCACCGTATTCATCACGTGCAACACTTCTGCAGAACACATGTATTCGGTAAAGCTGCTCTTGTATAACTAGAACGCTTCCCCCATCTCGCTGAGTGTAGTAGAATGCGCACTTCCTTAAGCGAGAGTGTCATGGCCGCAACAAAACTAGTGCATCATGCTACGTTCCCTTCCTATAGCGCCTTTGCACAAGATGTTTGCCTGAATCCGACTCGGGGCACCAAAATATTATCACGCACCTCTCCTGTACAGCTCCACGTCAAACGTCACTTTATATTCAGGCTCCGAAAACCCTTAGAATCACAGGAACATTTTTGGAACCCACATCCATATGGCGCCAAAGCCACGACAGTTGTTGAAATTTTCGTGGGCGTCTGATAATTCTGCACATGGGCTAAGCCATCCATGCACAAAAAATTAGCCAACGCTTTCTTGGCACTTCCTTTGGCATTGACACCGTACGAAAAATCTGCGTAACCGACGCGCATCCACCTGTCATAGTGCCACACCTGCGGATTTCACAACCTTCCCACACTCTTCAGTACAAGTTCCTACAGACTGTAAATGCCGCCTTTTGATGGATTTTTTAATGGCCTAGTGGTGAGATGCGCATTACACTAGCTACAGCCCAGCCGCTATCATTCCACATTTCCCAGTTGCTGCAGAGTCGACTGAGAAAGGCGCTCTAAGACTCGCAGTTACACACCAAGAGCAACCGAAGCTGCCACGTGCAACCACGGCAGGTACTTCAAATGCGTCTGCCGCCGCGGCCAACGCAGCCTTGGAGGTTGACTATCACGGTCCTGGGCCATCAGAATATACCAGGTTTGGCGTGCATTCAGCGTCTACGTTGCCAGCTGTACCGTGTGCGCGTATGCAAAGCATGAATGAAATATCCCAGAACTCACCCACTAAAGCATACCAATGCTTTACAATGAGCTGCCCGCATGCGCTGGGTTTCATAGAGTCTTTGGTGATACCGAATAAACGCAAAAGCGCATTCTCCAGCTGCAGATACCTGGATTAGCAGAAAGCCGCGCGTTACCGGATGAAAGCAGCTGACAATGGCCTTTAATGACGAATGCAGGTTTCCCACAGTCTGAAACCTAGGCAACCTGCTCACAATCTGGAAAGAGCACCTCGTCGTTGCAACAGAATCTTTCAGCGCTTGCTCGTCACGCTGGCACTGCACGCCTTTGCTTGAATAGTGCTCCAGTAGCACGCAGTGAGAAACCACAGTGTGTAAGCAAACTCCGCTATGGCTTTGCACTAGTGCATTTACATTTCAAACGCTGGTAAGCTAATCAACCGTGCTGAGTGCTGGGCACGCACACCTCAGCACATTCCGCCCTAGATCCATCATCAATCGTGGGACGCGCAGACACTTGCAACAAGAAAGCACGCAGGCGGCAAATGTGATGGCGGACTGCACGAGCGCCGGCAAATACGTTACCAACATAAAAGAATAGTCAAAAAGCAGTAGCCGGCAATTAACTGCGTTTTTTGTCCACTGAACCGTTGGTCAAGTATACTATGCGACGCTCCGGCCCAATATACATGTTGCGTTTTTTGTGCATGGACGCTGAGACTCTGTCCCGGCATTCACAGGACCGCATAAGCGGACGCTTGCCATACACAAAACAGCCAGAAAACAGACCATGAAGGCCGGGCAAAATGCGCCCTGCTCTTCGAAGACCTCGCGACGCCACAACCGTTGATGCACAAATTGAAAAACTTCACTGTTCACACATGAAGGTCAGCAAAATCTCCGCCAAATATTGGGCAGACACCCATTAACACATTGGGATGCTGCCGGGCAGCGTAAGAGAACCAAGCACATGCTTAATACCAATTTCAGCATGGTGCAGCTGCCTGCGTGGGGAGTCCTTGTAGGAGAGCTCAGGGAAAACAAACGCGAATCGAATAATTTCATGACTTGCTCAGAAGCATCATGGGCGTACAGACTGATGGCACGCTTTTCGTTTGTATTGGCCTACGATGTTGGAGCTCAACCAACACTTTGCCGTGAGAATCCGAGCTACAACGAAAAGTAGGGACACATTCACCGACACTGAAGACAAAACACGTTGGCAATTCTCTCCAAGCCAAAATACCCCGTTTCCTCGTTCCGTTGTGCAAACGCCATGAGCATCTACGCATTTCCTGTTGGCCTCTCCGTCTGCCGCCACCCGCGCTTCGTCATTTCTATTAGTTATCTGCAGAATAACCACCATTACATGTAACCAGGCTAGCCGTCAATGCCACTAAGCATCTGACATGCACTGCTACCTCCTACCACGGGTTGCGCTGCGCATCAGGAAACGCAAAACTTTGTTCTCATACATCGGCGCTCTCCTTTGGTATCTACTCTTGCACGGCGTCTAGCCTACCCCACGATTTCACTTTCGGGATATGTAATCTCTGGTGCAGTCTTGCTAACTCATGCCGCCGAGCCAAAACACCCTACGTCACTAGATACCAAAGCAGAGAACAACAGACACTCGGGGACTAATTCGCACTTCCCCCCTCACTGGAAATCCATGCATCTGCACGCATGCGTAGATGCATCCAGGCATAAGGAGGGCTGTCCCCCCATGTGCGACAGCCGCCCACCCATACTGGAGTGTTAAGAACGCCCTGCTGCAAGCTGCTGAGGTCGGACGAAACCCAGGGATATTCCTGATTGCCATCTACTCCGGACACAGCACTTTAGCTTATCTAGCCGATCCACAGACATCCGCATGAGCTTCTGGTTTTACTCCCATCGCTCGACAACGTGCAAACATAAATGCGAAGCATTGTGTCCCCACATTTTCTCGAGTATCCATCCGGAACAGATGCGATATCATGCGTTGTTGAATTGTGCTACCAGATGGACGGATCAGGCGCCTCTTTCTACGGGGCTTTTAGAGTCAATGCACAAGTGACCACGACTGTCGGTACGCCCCACGCCGAATTCCGGTTCTGGCCATTTGTAAGTTCTTCGAACCCCAAAAAGCGCGGCAAGCCTTGTACGTCGTCCCCGCGAATTAAACGCAAGCTTTGAGCTTTAAATGAAACATGTTCAACAGCGCATTGAAGGTGGACGTCTCAACGGCAATGCGCACGCCATTCAAAATTGTGACTGCTCTAGACCGAACTGCTCAGCCAGACTTTTTCTGCTTACTGGCTGCAATAATCAACACCAAATGGTATTTTTAATGGAGTGAATAGGTCTTACATCACCGTGGCAAGTCGTGGAAGCTCTTCGCGGATCGAACAGCATTCCTTTGCGAATCCAGACCAGCCCTGTAACTGCGCAGCCAGAACGAATTTCACCATAGAACATGCTTGTTCGGCGTTGCAAAGAAAAACACGAACACGCAGGAAACCCAGCATCAACACCAGTGCAAGAGCACCACTTTTTCGCACCCAGAAGTACAGGCTATTCGTATGGGTGGCACGCCGAAGCAGACGCAATGATACATCAACGCACGGTCTGTCCCAACGCGTGCAGAGCAGTACTATACGATTTGGGGTTATTGATGTGACGCAAGACTATAGTGGTGATACAAATATGATTTTCCTGACGGGACGGCGATGCAAATTCGCACGCATCGATCCCGTTTGCTTGGGAGATCTGCACTGGACCGCCTGGCACAAAAACAGCGAACGGCGTTTCATATTAGTGCTTCTGCCGATTTCGATCCCTCTGCACAGAGTTGAAGCTGCGCGGGAGCAGCATGCATCCCGCGCTTCACCTGCCGCCGCCTCAGAAGCCTATTCAGGGGGAACGCGCTGACCGGGGGGGTCTACGGGCTTTCACCATTCAGTGTAACGTACTACATAGCTCAACTATGGCCGCTGCGATCAAACTGTAGGGTGACGGACCTTCCGCCAGCGCAGCAAACAGGACACGAGCTTGCGAAATAGCTTCCACACGCCTGCGCCTACCAGTACTTTCAGCAAGGCGCCAAGGGGGAGTTGCAGACGCCAGCCGCCAAATGCCCATGCTGCACGATTGACTGCAACCGCATGCCCTGCATTCAGCATACCGAGCCACGGAATACTACCAGCCACCGCAACGTCACTGCACAAAACGTCTTCAAGGTGACTGGCGAGCAATGCTTGCGGCTTGCTTTCACCTTGCCCGCCTACAAACAAATCATTAATCACTTTCAGCACGCTTCAGTAACCAACACAAATTTGTGTGTCGAACGTGCACGCTATTCCTTACCATCACGTCACTTAGACAAGCAAGTACAGACCCACTCTCTGGGAGGGCCCATTTGAGTTGCACATGTCAGTACGGCCAAATAGCAACGTACTATACGTGAAATCGCCGCCGTCAACTACGTCATCACTAACGCCTGTGCAGATGAGTGACCACCTTGGCTAACCGTCGAGCTCGTTCCTTTTTTGGCACGGTGCACGTGCAGCCCTTGCACAACGACTGACGAATTCACCACCACAAGCCTATTGCCTACTGCTCCAGTTGACGCCAGCTGCGCAACGTCATGCCTCTCTGTTACCTTGCGTACCATCTGCAAATTGCTTCCCCATTACCGTGCCTGTGTTTCTGCATGGTACAGTTGCATAGCTTTTATAGCAGCATTTGTAGTACGTACGCGCACCTGGAGAGCGTCATGCGGCCACCAAGGAGCCACAAAAATTTTACGCGCGTCAGGCCCATTGACTCCATAGTCGCCTACAGATGACACTCTGATGAGCGGAGGCATCGCCATAAGGCATAAAAGCTCCTCAATGCGTGCTCTGAGTTGTGCATACAAAATGCTGGGTGGTTTGTTCTGTAGCGCCCCTAGTGTTGTAGAAGTGCTACAGAGACCCTGCGGCAGGAATGTAGTTGTGGCGTAGTGACCAGTTCGTGAACTATGGATGCCTGTGCACATATTCCACGTGACTCCTCCTGGTAGAACAGTCTGTATCGTGGTTCAGGTGGTGCATGCAGAGCTGGCCTCCAATTGCAAGACCAATCATTTAGGGTACCCCAATTTCAATGCGTTTCACCGCGCGCAGCTGGGAACTCAGCGCAGGTGCGAAAATGCTGTGTTGCAGAACGAGCTGTCGAGCCTATGTCCGTGACGCGGCAGTACAGAGCTTTACGCTCTGCGATGGACGTGCACCAGCTCGTACTATAGGAGTGCAGATCCACCATTTACTTATATTTCTGAACGATGAAGGCAATGGACAGTTCCTTAACTAGTTGTTGTTGCTGTCTGCTCACATGCTGAACGAAACGGGGAATGTCTGGGCAAAGTTGTCCCTTGGTCCATAAATGCTTCTCTGCGACACATAGCTGCACTGCCGCAAACTTTTCAAAGCGATATATTACGAGAAACATATGCACAACATGGCCACTATCCCTTCTGTGCCCTGCCTCTCCCAGAATTAATCAGACGAACTGCAGCCCAATCACCGTGTATAGTTCAGAAAAGGCAAAGACTGAACTGCATATTTGATTTGTGGGAAATAATCCGGTGTGCTCGTATCCCCTTCCGACAGATGCGGCTACCTAGTCGAGGTTTGCAATGTAGTATACATGCGCTATCTGATTCTTCAACAAAACGACTGGTCTACGAAAGTGAATCACAGTAGTCACTTAACCTATATACCCCCTCAATGATGTGCCTGGAGACCGCCGTTTAATGGTTGGTAGCCACGCCAAAGTGCAGTACAATATGTGCATCATTCCTAAATGAGGTTTGCTAACTTTGAAAATCACAAGGTGCGTTTAGCCAGATGGAGCATACGCTGAATGCTGTAGTCAAACCGGCATATGCGCGGTGCGCCTCCTTGCCGTGCAGCGTAACCTCCAAGTACCTGCGCTCCAGCTCCATAAATAGCAGTAGCGACGAAATTCATTCTTTAGTGTACGAGAAAAATCAGCCGTGGAAATGCGAGGCTACTCTCTGCATTTCTCAGTTCGATTCGATTTAACGTGGAGCGAGCCTAGCGCCGCCCCATATCAAACAAACACCGATGCCACAGACCTGCTTACAGCCATCTTACGAGCATTTCAGCAAGCAAAGTCTTCACTAGACACCGGACTCAGCCTCTGCATGGAGGAATGCAAGGACAGGCCTTCCAAACAGTTGCATGCGACCATTCACCAGCAAACACAATCTGTGTTCTGCTGAAAGCCCCTTCGCAACAACCAATCTTAATCCAGATGGTGGCGCACCGACTAGCCAGCGCAGATAATTACCGCATTAAAGGCTCTACTTCCACACTTTGCAAGTGCCCCGTATACCATTGCTGCACGCAGGTTCCGCAGGGCCTACGCACAGTAGAGACGGGGCCTACACACCCTATGAGCCCTCCGACCTCCGACAGTAAGCTCTCCTTGTAATGCTTTCAACAGTCTGAAAGGCATCAACAAGCAAAGAGCCATCCGAGAGGATATGTGCCCTTCACTTTTCGCTACAGCACGCCTAGCACTTACAGGGCGGTTCTTCGACGCCAAGCGCGAGGACCGCTCTGCTGCGCACGCACACGCCGCTAACAAACATAGTCACAATCACTAAGGCTCACATCACTCTTCCCCCAACGCAGCGCGGAAGTAGCCTATTGCCGGCTCTAAGCATTGAGGTTCGACGCTACATAATTGACTGCACCAGCGTGCCCGGTATTACGCAAGTTAAACTATGGTCCAGCTAGTGGCAATCTCCGCTTCATTGCCAAAAAGGTTTCCACGGTGGCTAATGGACAACATTGCAAGCCTTTAACTACACAGTCTCCTTACTCTCTGGACCCAACAAAACACAAAACGCGCAATTCTCCGCCGCTTCTTTAATGGGTTGAAGTGCTACATCAACTCATGCCAACACCTCACGCTGTCGACGACGCTCTTGCACGGCCTAAGCTGCGTGCTTGTTCCGCACTCACATAATGCTAAAGCCGCGCAACCTAAGCCTTGCCCACAACTTCCCGCATCCCACTCAACGAGTACTAACCTC